TCTTAATATTGCAAAAAAGCAATTATACTTTGTTATCTATGTTGAATTATGGTTATTTTTTACAAAAGCATGAGTATTAATCTTTTGTTATTTTTGAGTTTTTTTTAACTACACTTTTATTATTGTATGTAGCTCTAACAAATGATTTGTCAAAACTTTTGCTATAGAATTATAAACTTTTAAAAAGTCAAAAAATATTAAGTCATAGATGATAATTATAATTAGCAAAGAAAGGTATTTTTTAAATAAATAAATATACAAAATTATTTTATACAAACTTTGTCAATTCGAAAAACAAATTCTAGTCATCTTGATGATAGTTGATGGTACACCTCAAATATTTTTATAAAACTTAATTCATCCATTTTATTTGTCCATAGGCCTAAAGTTAAGTTGGCAAGAAATAATAGATACCTATTTAAAGTAAATTGAAGTAAAAATAATAGAAATTGAGGTTTTTATTATAGATAAAATAATATCCTATACTATTGTAGATGGTGGAAGTAGTTTGAACATTATGCCTTTCTAAACCATGGAGAAACTAGCATTGAGTATTACTAGCCCATTTCTATTTGTTATCAAGATGAAAAATCAAAGTCCATGTATTTCAATAGGCCAAATAAAAAAATTCTAAGATTTGGATTGAGAGAGAAGAATATGTCTTGATATATCATGTTATTCAGATGCATATATTTAAGTTTTGTTTTGTTTTGTTTTGTTTTTTTTTTTTTTTTATTACTTGATAGGCTATAATTAAGGGATTGAAAAGCCATAGTCAACTAGAGAAGAGATAAAGCTCATATTATCTTTGATCTATGGAAAAATAAAACCAAATCTCCATACAACCTATATTTGATCATAAAAAAATTAATTCCTTTGATTCTTGGAATAATATCTAATTATCTAAATTATAAGAAAAATTAATAAAGTTATTTAATTCAATTGACCAAGATTCAAAGAAAATAGAATATTTAGATTTGAATCTTTATCAATGAAAAGATAATAGAGAATTTAAACAATAATTAAATGATCAACGAGACTCTAATTTTGATTATTTTATATCTATTTATTTTTTAAAAAATATATTAAAAATTAAAAAAGTTGAAGAAATCCTAGTTTTTAGCATTAACATAGATAGAACATTAGAAGAAAAAATTGAGGTCCTTAAAAGAGATGCCAACTTGATTCTACTTCTTAGATTTTAAAATATTTCATTAAAAATTATAGTTGGAAATGGAATTGTCAACTATCATCTCATACCTAATAATTGATAAATGAATTCTTTAGAACAATCTTTAATATAAGAATCTAAATGAAATTTTGTATATATATTCCACAAAAGAGAAGAGCCTAAAAACATTAAAATTAGAATTCATTTAAATCAAGAAGAAATGTTTAGATATTATAATTAAAGCACAAAATATAGAGACGTTTCAGCATGGTCATACAAAGATTTGAAGGATATTCTACCTATGGTGGCTCAATATCTTATTTTTCTTATTATTGGTGCCAAGGCAATTAGTCAAACAAAAAGACGTATAAACCTCCAACTCCAATTGATTATTAAAGGAGAGTTAGAAAAAATATTAAAATTTGGTTTTATTAAATCGATAGAAATAACAAATTAGATCTCTCCTATGGTCTTTGTGTAGAAGGAGAATGGTAAATTAAGAGTTTACATAAATTATCGAAAACTCAATAAGCACACTTAAAATGATTATTTTTACCTTTTTTTTTATTAATAGTATTTTAGATAAAGTGGCAGATTACAAAATCTATATGTTTATAGATGATTATTTTGATTATAATCAAATTTTTATAGTTCTAAAAGATTGCCATAAAATGACTTTTATCACTTCCTTGGATACCTTTAATTTTTTTGATCATGTCTTTTGGACTTTGTAATGTTTTTTTTTTCCTTCCAAAGAGCCATGACCTTTGTATTTTTAATTTTGCTATATAAATTAATGTCAATATTCATAGATGATTTTAATATCCAATTCAATACCAAGGATCATCTAAAACATGTAGAAGAAATCTTAGAAAGATGTAAAGAAATAGAAATTGATTTAAATCTTGATAAATTATACTTGATAATACAAAAAAGGGTCTTCTTGGATTATATGGTATCTAAGAAGGAAGACAATCCAATTTAGAAAAAATAGAAGTCATAGCTAAAATGGAACCTCTTAAAAATATTAAGAGAGTAAAAAATATCTTATAACATCTTTGATGGTATTGAGAATTAATTCTCCACTATGCCACAAAAACTTTATTTATTACCAATCTCAAAAAGAAGTTGATTAAGTTTTGGTAGACAAAAGATTATTAAGAAGCTTTTGATTGAATAAAGGCAACATTAAGCTCTTATCCCATCTAAAAACCACTTAATTAAAATCTTTCCTTCTATATCTATTGTGATGCTTTATTGATAGTAGTAGATAGTGTATTATGTCAACCAATAGAAGGTGGGCATTAAAATTATGCTATAGCATTTGCTAACAAAAAATTAAATGTAGTAGAAAAAAATTATAGTACCATAAAAAAAAAAAATTTAGCGTCAATTTTTTTTATGAAAAAATTTTGACATTACTTATTAAATTCTATGGTATTTTTTTTGTTGACTATATGGCCATCAAATATCTAATGAATAAAACAAATTTGAGTAGTCATATAACTCAATAGATATTGTTATTAGAAAAATTTGACTACAAGGTAGAATAAAAACTTAAAAAATTACATAACCAAGCAAATCACCTTTTGAAGTTAAAAAGAGATATAAGCCCTACTTCTATTGATAAAAACTTAGCAGATGAATCTCTTTTTATCATCTCTATCCATCTTACTTGATATAATCACATCATAATTTTTTAAAATTTTAATCAATTTTTGGAAGAATTTTTCAAATATTAATGATTTAAGATTAGAATTAATAGCACTCATTTTTTTATTTTAAGAAAAAGATTGTATTGTTAAGGAGTAGATGGTCTTTTCAAACAATATGTAGTAGTTGATGAAGTACCAACCATATTAATAGCATGCTACCATAGCCCATGTGGAGACATATCAAGTAGATTGACAACTCAAATGGTAATGAAAGCAAGGTATTTTTGGCCTACCATATTTCAAGATGTATATGATTATATTAAACAACGTAACTCTTAGCAACATTATGAAAAAAATGATTTATATATGGCACTTTTTTTCTACATATCCTTATATTTTGTTTCTTTTAAAAAATAGGAAATTAATTACATAGAAAAAATTCACCCTAATTCTTTAAGAGGGATGAAACATATTGTAGTGGCCATGGAATATCTAATAAAATAGATAGAAGCAAGAGCTGTTAAAACCAATAATGCTATCTACATAGCTAATTTTATATATGAGCAAATCATTACTTGATTTGATTGTATCAAAATTTTGATTAGAGATCAAAGTACATACTTCTTGAATAGTGTGATAGCGGAGATGAAATAGGTTTAATATAAACTTTCATATGACTATTCCTTACTATCCACCAACTAATGGTCATATAAAAAGAGTAAACTAAACCTTAGTTAATATCCTAAAAAAAACAATACAAGATTCTAAGAAAGATTGGAATACAAAATTACTAACAACCTTGTGGACTTATCATATAACTTACAAGGTCACAACCAAGGCTACTCCATTTTTTTAGTGTATGGAATAGAAGCAATTTTTCTATTTGAATTTAAAGTCAATTCTCTTAGGATAGCAATAAATGATTGACTAACTATCTAAGAATCCTTGAAATATATATTAGAATAATTAGTGGGCCTTGATGAAATTTAAAAGATTAGAGCTTAACATATAGAAGCAATTCAAAGGAAAAAAAATTACTTTTAATAAAAAATACAGGAAGAGAGTCTTACAACCAAAAAAGCTAGTGTTGTTATAAAATGCTAAGAGAATGGATTTCTTTGGCAAATTTGATGCTCTCTGGTTAGATCCTTATTATGTTTAGAATTTTTTTGACAGCTCTTTATAATTGAAAACATTAAATGGTAAATTATTTCTAATAAGAACATTTGAAAATAGATGTAAGGAATAATAAGTATGAAAAAATTACCACATAATGATAAAAATAAGTTATACACTTATTACTCAAGTTGAGTAAAATTCTAGCTAAACAAAGTCAATCTTGATTTTTATCAAATTTTTTTGGATTTTGATTCATTAGAGAGGCAAAGTAATTCTACAAATGATGCTTATTTCTATTAGGATATTATCTCTTCCATTTATTAAGAGATAATGAATCCTATGTAAAAAAATAAAAAATAAAAAAAATAAAAAAAAAAACAATCTTGTTTTATAGGATTTGGATATAATTTAGAATAGGATAGCATCCTTGGGTTGTGGGCAATTTGCCACAAAAGTGGTTATATAAGAGGTGGTCTAGATTCAAATCCAGTCCATATAAGTAGCTATGCATAAGAACTAGTGTAAAAATAGGAAGGTGACCAACTTATCCAATCTAGAAGATATGTAGTCCATATGTGAATCACTAAATTGACTCACTTGAATATTTAGTATAAAAAGGCACCTATTATGCCTTTTATTATAAGTTTTGTGAATTAGTAGTAGAATTTTTTGAAAAAATAAAAAATAGATTGCTAATAGCAGATATGCAGCCTAGGATAGAATTTATTAAGACAAATTTCAATGATAAATATGTTTTTTGTAGCTAACATAAGATGATGGCCACTTGGAGTAGCCCTTATTATCAAAAGAAAAAAATATTAATAATTCTTAAAATATGCATATATATATATACATATATATGTTATAAAAATAAATAAATAAATAATAAGCTCAAAACAACAGGAGAAAAGAAAAAATATGAAAAAGAAGAAGAATCAAAAGGAAGAGAAGAAAAAAAGAGAAAAAGAAAAAGAAAAAAAGATATAAAGAAAAAAAGTTATAAAGAAAAAAAAAGAATAGGTGATGAGGAGGGCAAGAGGCTTCTCAGGAACGGCGATGGCCTCTTCATCGATAAGGGTCTAGCCGCCCTGGATCCCATCTTTTTTGTTTGTTTGTTTGTTTGTTTGTTTGTTTGTTTGTTTTACTAGCAATACTAGTTGAGGAAGCGCCAACAAATTTGGCTGGTGGTGCTTATCCCTTAGGCAATCGGGGTTGCCGTCAACGATTCGAGCGCTCTTCTTTCCATGATCAACGTAGAGCTCCATATTAGGTGGTGCTACGGTGGAGTCCGCAGTTTAGATTGAGGAGGTAGAATTGTTTTGTGCGGCGGAAGTGGTTCCTCTTTCCCATGGGGTTCTTGCACTTTGAATTGTGAAGTGGACATCGTTAATAGACATTATTTTTTGTCTTCCTCTCGGATCTGTCTCAGATCTGGTTGTTATGCAATTTCCAGTTGGTTGCGGAATTTAAGTTTTTGTCAACATTCTTTCCTTTCCGGAGTTGGTGTTGCAACAATCTGGACTTGCTACAAGGTCGGTTTTGTTCCGAGTGTGATTCCGTGGTTATGGACTATGTTGCCGCTAGTTGCTAGTGGATTGACAAAGTTTTTATTTTATTTTTTATCTTCTCTTCAATTTCTTCTGTAGATCTTATTGTTGTTCTACTCGCCTTCAAAGTAGCATCGTTTTGGATTGGCTTGGTTTTCTCGTTAATTTTTTTCTCTCTTATTGCTACTTAGTAATTCTCGCTCAGTGAGTTGGAAATTTTCCGTTGTATAGACTCTCCTCTATAAGTCGTCTCGTGTTCTCCTGGTCGATCTGCTGCTGGAGGTGCTGTTGTCGCTCGGTTGTACTACAGAGTGATTGTGGTGTTGTTCTTTTTTCTTGTGGTTTTGCGGTGGTTGCACAAGGTTTTAAGTGGAACCAAAAGCATACCAACAAGAATTTCTTCTTTGTTGTGCTTCTGTAAGTGGATTTGAGTGGTGGTTCTGCTACAGTGTCGTGCGACGACATTATTCCGCGTGTGGTTTCTTCCTTAAATAGTGGACGTTGTTGCGGTAGGGATGGAATTTGGCTTTGGTGGACGCCCAGCAGGGTGCAGACGTCCATAGTAGCAGGATGAAGGCTCCTCACCAGGAAATAAGGGTGGATGTTGAAAGCCCTGAGGAACATGGCTAGAGTGAGTGGAGTGCAACAGAAATCTGAGCCCTCCTCAAAGTGTGCCCTTTGTGGTGGATTAAGGTAGTCAACGTTGAACTTCTACATTAGACAAATTAGGTTAGATTTGAATGAACTTAGAATAGGATTTAATTAGGTCAAAATTGGATGTGTTCCTATTGGATGAAAATTAAATAAAGGATGATGTATTTAAGCATAGAGGAATTTTGAAGATGGATGATAAATTATTCATGGATCAGATTTCATTCATGGATGATTTTTTTATTAATGAATGAAATTTAAATAAATAATATAAAATAATAAAAAATCAACCAAACTAAAATCAATAAAAAAAACAAGTATTAATAGAAAGAACTTCTTTGGTATGCATGTTGTAAATAGATTGTTGTTGTAAGTGCTGCTTAATAACTTGGTGTTTAAAGAAGATTAAAGAGTGATTTGATTAAGATTTAATAAATAGCTATAATTCCTAAAATTTATATAGTTAATTCACTTGTTGTGAATTAGAATAAACTTCCAATCAATAGAGATTTATTTTAGCTCACAATAGTGCATTCAAAAACACTCAACCAAACAAAAGACAAACAATCAGCAAAAATCATATCCATCAACAACCAACAAAAAAATGAAATGAAATGAAGATACGAAAAAGATTCACATTGTTTCTGACTGGATCAATCACATAACAATTAATACAAAGTAACAAAGCCTCTCCTCTTCCTTAGAAGCCTTAGTTGTAGATGTAGTGGATAACTTGGACAATCTATCACCAACCTTACAATCGCCTTGCTTCACTTTCAAATAAGAGGAACTTAGAAGATGGACCATAGTCAATAGAAACAACAAGGCCATTAAATTCCTTTCTTGCAAACTATTAGTAGCTTTGATACCCAAAAAAAAAAATGTCCTATATCTTCTAATGTATTAGAAGATTAAATCTATGAGCTTCTTTAAATCAAACATACAATCTTCTATACAAAATGTCAAGTGAAATTAAGGCCTATATTATATACTAATTAAATATACAACTCTTCTTGAGCCTTAATCATAGCAAATTATAAGGAACAAAAATAACTATCATAGATATATATATTTATTCCAATAATTACTTATATGATTAGATAGAAGTAGGTAAATATAAATTAATTTCATAATATCTTTTAGAGAAGCTTTTTAGAAGCTTCATAGATGTAATTTTGATTTTACACATATTTATAGTTGATTGATAGGTTAGAAACTTGGTCAACAAATTAATCACGTACCATATATGTTGCTAGCTTGTAGAACCAACTAATTATGTGGTGCACATATATTATGTAGATAGTTTTCCTTGCAAGTTACGACATATGTCTAATAAAGTCAACACATGTTGGAGGTCCTATAGAAAATTGCCATATAATTTTTAGTTAAAGAGTATATATAGAGGCAAGAGTGAAGTTTTTTTTTTAATCTTATCAACATCTTTTTAATCCTTAGTCTTGTTTCAAGACTTTCTAGTCTTCTTGTCTTTGGCAGTAGCTATTCTAGTTCAATATAGTACCATTTTGAATGATTTTTTAATCTTTTTAAGTAACATGAGAGTATATTGAGATTTTTTTTTTTTTTTTTTTTTTAAGATTCATGTCATTGATTGTTTGATAAGAATGCTAATTCATTATTCTTATCTTATTTTAGAAATGAGTGGATTATCCTTCTTCTATTATTGTATTTTAAAGGTTATAGATTACCTACCTTTAAAAAAATTATTTATTTTTTTAATACTAATTTTTTCTTTAAAAAAATTATATCTCTTTGTGGAAATTTTCATTTGATATAAGAGATTGCGGATTACCCTTCTCTAATTTGACTTGTGGATTTATTAAGTTATTTGAAATAGAAGAAAAAATAATAGATGCTATACTTGGATGGAAGTGAAAATAGATTTACAACTATTGCAGATCTTTACTAACTTGTCAACACTTTTAAAAAAGAAATTTCATACATCACCATTACCAACAACAGAAGCGCTAATCCTATGCCTATAGAAGAAGTTCAAACTAAAAAGAAGCATGTAAATCAACATCAATTAAATCTAAGAAGTTTTTCTATAAGTATAAGAGGAATAAGGATTAATATATCGAAGAAGTTTAATAGAATAAGATCAAAATTTCAAGAATTTCACCAATAAGTGTGTCACAAATATATATCTATTGTAATTATTGTCTAGGTAATATGAATAGGTAGAAGTAGGTAAAAGTAGACTAATTTCATAATACCTTTTAGAAAAGCTTCTTAGAAGCTTTGAAAAAGCTTTTTAGATGTTTTTTTGATTTTATATGTGTTTGTAGTTGATTGATAGGTTAGAAACTTGGTCATCAAGCTAACCATGTGTCACATATGTCAATAGCTTGTGAAACAAGCTAAATATGTGGCATCCATATAAACAATTTACCTTGCAAGTTAAGATACGTATCATGCAAAGTCAATACATTTTTGGACATCCTACAGAACATTGCCACATAGATCCTAAGTAGATAGTATATATAGAGGCAAGAGTGAAGCCTTATTCACTCTTGTCAATTCCTTTCTTGTTTCTAGTTTAGTTTCAAGAGTCTCTAATTTTCTTATCTTTTGGCAATAGCCATTCTATTTTTATTTTAATATACATACTTCTCTATTTCTATTTTGTCTTATTTCTTTGAGAGAGTTTCACTTATTTATTTGCTTTCATTGAATTCTTGTCCTTGATAGATTAACAAGAGTATATTTATAATATAAGAGCTTTGTCTTTTTTTTAATTAAGAATGGATTACTCTTTTTTCTTGATAAGACTTAAGCATATTAGGAGTTTAGATTACCCTCTTCAAAATTGATATTGTTCTTAGTATTTTTGTTTATTTTCAAGTTTTTTCTTCTATTTCTTTTAAGAAATATTAGACATTTTTTTTTAAAGTATTATCATAGCAATGCTTCTTGAAATGAAGAGTGCAATAGTACAAATACAAGAGCAATTCAAAAAGTTAATACTTACAATGCATCAACTCAATTTACTACCATAAGAAGCAATAAGAAAGGTAGGAAGCAAAGATATAGAGATGATTACAGCTACTTCAACATTTCCACCAATTCATGTCGCTTCTATTATGATAAGACATTCTTCCAATATTAGAGAACCAAAGATTGGACTGCTTGAGAAGTTTGATGGTATAAGATGTAAGTTTTAAGAATTTTTAAATCAAGTACAACTTGTAATTGAACTTCAACTCCAAAGATATCTAATTCTAGGATTGCAAGTTAGATTCATTGATACACTTCTTTCAAGTTCAGCATTATCATGATTTTTTCTTTTTTCAAACAATGAAATCTAATATTGGATAATTTGAAGGCTTTTTTGGTATAGTTTTGATCCATGTATGGATAATATGATGCAATTTAGATTGCAACCAATAAGATTCATATTTTGTAACAATAAAATTGATCAATAATGCTATATGCTTCATAGTTTTGATAACTTGTAATTGATATTAAATAGGATGATGTTGTACTTATTAATTGATTTTTCTATATATTATAATATAAAGTAAAAAAATTAATGATCAACTTACTTGATCCTCAAACATTGAGTCAAATAATTGACTTTATTATGAGGTGTGACAATTGACTTTTTGAATTTCAATATGAAAGTCACACAAGTACATGTCAATATTACCATAATTCAATAATAATATCAACATATTCTCAATATATATATTTGAAAGTAGAAGATATACAAATTGATGCCATACGTTTCAAACCTCTTATTGAGCAAGAAAAGACTTGTCATTGTTAGAAAGAATTTTGCTTGTATTGTAAAAAATCTAAATATAATGCTCAACATTATCCAAAAAAGCGATGCAACCACAAAATGAGAAGTATGGCTGTTGGAAAAGATAGTATGTTAGAAAACAAGTTTGTCAAGCCATAATAAAGGCTGTGCGATTGAAACCTTATACAACACCTAATAAAGGTCTTATTCTCTCTTCAAAACCATCTCCTTATTTTATAATAACTATTATTTTAGATCCCAAATATTACAAAGCGTCTACCTTATTATATTTAAAAGCATCACCATATTTCTTAGATGAAGAATTTGCTAAAAGACATAGCATACTTTTAATGAAGAAAATTAAACTTATTCATGTAGAAGTCATAGATGGTTGTCTATTATCTTCAAAAAATATTATTCATGAAATCCTTCCTATAGAAGTAACAACTAATGGTGATAGTAGCTTTGTAATATTTAATATCATTAGATCGCTCTCTAATCTAATCATTTTAGTTTTATCATAGCTAAAAAAATATAACCCAAAAATAAATTAGATTTCTTGTTGTCTTAGCTTTTTGAAAGTATAACTAAGAATATAGTTGATCAAATAGAAAGTCATAAGTCTACAACAATTAAATCTGTATTTGTAGATGCAAGAGCTTTCTTGCATGCTGCAAAAAAAAGATTACCTCGTGTCATTTATGTTGCAATTGTTTTTAATAGTGGAAAGACTTCAAGTGGCATTTTAAGTCAATATTAAGATTTTTAAGATGTATTTGAGAAGAAGAATGCAGACACTCTATTAGAACATTGTTCTATGACTACTCAATTAATCTTTAAGAAGAAGCTCATCTATCGTTTGGACTAATTTATAGTTTATTACAAAATGAGTTAATTGAACTCAAGAAATACATTGAAGAAAATTTGGCCAAAAACTTCATATATCATTCCAAATTTCTAATAAGAGCTCTAATTTTATTTATGAAAAAAAATGATGGATCATTGCGGATGTATATTGATTATCAAGGGCTCAACAAAATCACCATCAAGAATAGATACTTATTATTTTTAATATTTAAACTTTTTTATCAGTTAAATCAAGCTAAGATCTATACAAAAATAGATCTATGATGAACATAAAATGTGGTATGTATCAAAGAAAGAGATGAATGGAAGACTATGTTTAAAACAAGGTATGGATATTTTGAATACAATATCATACCTTTTAAACTTACAAATGAACCAATGGCTTTCTAACATCTAATGAATGATGGTTTTTGAGAGTTTTTAAATAACTTTATTATTTATTATCTAGACAATATCTTAATCTATTTTAAGAATATAAAAGAATATGAACTTTATGTTCATTGTGTATTACAAAAATTAAGAGATGCGAGATTCTATGCCAAGATAA